ATTTCACACGCCCACATGGCCGGGACCGACTAAAAAGAATTAAATTGGAAAAGAGTCGGAAAACGAGACGAGTGAAAAAGGGTTCAAATGTATTTACAGTCGGGTGTCCAGAGGGAATCCAGGGGGCTTGGCCGCCCCCAAACCCCCTCCGCCAAACTTTTTTGAGCCTATGTGCAGGAAAATTCAGAAAACACGCCAAGCAGCCCGCAGCGACCAAACGGGCAAACAACACTTTCTCCCAGACCTATACAAAAACAAAAAAAAAACAAAAAAACCATAACAAATAACAGACAGAAAAAAAATTCCAGGCAGAAGTTTTTCTGGCACAGCCGCAAGATTCAAGTTTTGACCGCTGCCCATTTGAGGCTTCTTTTCTCACATTTTTTTTCTCCAGGGCACGCGTGTCGTAAAAATTTAATTAAAAAATAATTTTGCTAACAATAAAAATCAACACTGCGGCAGTAGATGATGGTGATGACAAAAGAAGTTGCCAAGCCGCAGGCCAAATAATGATTAAGCATACGCCGTGGTGTTCGGGGCGATTGCCACGCCCATTAGCCGTGTCAAAATGTGCGAATTATGTGCCTGAAACAGCGGGCATTTACGGCACGGCTTTTACTTTCGGTTAAGTTGGCTCTCGGCCGGATTCAAGGCGAATCTGGCCACTTTAGTGTCGGGCTGAACGAAATTATGATGACGACTTTTTATTGGGCCCAGAGCCATTGTCTGCTCCTGCCGTCCTTCTGCTCGTTGTCCTTGTTGTCCTGACAGCTGAAGTGGCCCGCCCGGATGCCTTGATGTCTGAATGGCTGGCCGCCTTGCCGCCTGGCCGCCTTTCCTCCCTGACTACTCTCTCCGCTTGTCGAGTCAATAAAAATTCAGTAAAACGCTCTCGACATAGGCTCAAGGATTATTATTGCTACTTTATGACAGTTTATGTATTTTTCCTTTTCTGTGTGTCCTGTGCTAGTGACAACGCAGATTTAAAAGGTTATATACACAGGAATATGGTCGTGAGTGCAGAGTGGGTGAAGGCGGCCCAACTTGTAAAGTGTTCGAAACGCAAATTGCTTCCCAGGGACGACTGCCAGTGGAGCCAAGTGGAACGTTTTGTAGTCAATTAATTTCCCAGATAATTGGTACGCCAAGAGAAGCCCGGGGTATGCGACTATGGAATATTCAACAAATCATTCGGTATTTTTTGTTTCGACCGAAAATATGTTTCGAAATATCTTAAACTTCTAAAGTGAAATTACATTTCATCGAAAATATTTTTATCAAAACAAAAGCTCTGACAAAAAACAAACCATGTGTCTCCTGATTTATGATTTTTGATAGTTTCATAAGAACTTATTATTTAATGCTTTCCTTTCACAAATGGCCTCTTTAAATTGTCTTAATGTTTTATGTTAATGATAATCGTTAAGAAAAGAATGGACATAATTTTGACTAATATAAGCCCATTCTGATTTAAAATATTTAAAAATTTGCTATATTTGTTATCAGAACCAAAAAAGGCGCAATTCCTGGAAAATTATATTTTTATAAACCAAGCAAATGCAGAGAGAAAATTACCAACACTTGCAAATATTTTAAGCTAGTTTCAAATGCATTGTTCCAGCCATTCCAAAATTCGAATGTGACTTTAAGCTCCATACAACGACATTACCAACTTGTTTAGTTGGAAAAAGGATTGCTTGACAGCTTTATGCTAAAACTCAAACAAAACACAGCTTGAAAACCGAAAGCAAAAAAACTTCTAGCCGATCAAAAAACTCAATGACAACAAAGGCATAACCCGCACAAAAAAATTAACCAAACTCTGGCAAACTTTGCCAACAACCGGCAATAAATGCAACCAACGTGGCCGAGCTAATTATGTGCTTGGTAACAAAAACAACAGAAACGGGACAAATCTGCTCGGCAAGACAAAAGCTCCTAACCTCAAACTTTGACTCTGACTTTTGGCCCAATTATGGCCACGTTTCAATGTCGAGTTATAAAATTAGCATATTTCCCCGGCCAAAGCTTTTTAATGCTGTTTGCCGTTCATTTAGTGCGATTTTTTCTCGTCCGCAGTCTTGTTATTTTTATATTATTTTGCAAGGGAAAACTTAAGCCGGCCAAATACGTTGACACCTTAATTTTGATTCGGAAAGGGGCGGCCTCGAAGGTTGGCCAGAAGAAAACTCGCTGCTAATTGCAGTGTCGAGGCTCAAAGCAAATGGCTTAATTACCTTGTATTCCCCTGTTGTCGTTTGACCTTTGGGGGGCAAAAGTTCATTTGCATAATTTGGCTGGGTTTTTAATTTTCGGCATAGCATTTCCCTGGCCATTCTGCACGTAACATTTGCATAAACAGAATCTACACGCGAGGCAATCAGCATAATTCCCCCTGCAAACATATTGAGCCGAAAATCACTGCAAAACTCTGCCACCACTGGAGGGAAAACACATATCTTTTATCGCATTGAACTAGCTGCTCGAACTAAAAAGCTGGAAAAAATATGTAAAGAATCGACTTCAAGCAAAGTTTGCTCCTAGCCCTGGCCAAACGATATTTGCTCATCAAATTAGTTTTCTTGCACACGTTTTCAATTTTCGACAAACGCTAAAAGTTTCCTGCTCCACTCAATTTTGGGGGAGTTGAGGGTTATACATATTTTCCAAATATGCGTGCGTGTAAGATAACGTGCATACACAAGAAGAAAATAAAAGAGCGTTACAATGATTGTTAATTACATTAAACTTATACTTTTTAAATTTAAAATATGTTAAGCATTCTTAGTAAATATACTCTTTTACCACGATTAGTAAATTAAAGTGAAAAAGCTATTTAAAATATAATTTTATTTCTATGACAGCATTTACCTCATAGGCATTAAGATTTTAAAATGATTTTTGTTTAAGCCTAAGCCCTTTTTTTAACAGGCAATGTTTTAAAAATATTAAAAATAGAGTTCTCTTTAATAAGCTTAATTTCCCCAAGTGTAGGCACGCACAGCCAGAAGCGTGTCAATTGTGGCAAAGGTTTTAGCATTTGAAATTTGAATAAACTGGTAAGTACCTCTGAGAATTTCATTTTGAATTCCGGTAATACCACATCCATCCATCCACCCATCCATACACCTGTCCAAATCCAAACAACAATAATGAGACTGTACAATGGCATGCATAAATCAACTGGCTGGACAAAGCCACATGGTAAATGTTGCCAAAAACTCTATTGTCTGCTCATAATTGCCAACTTCCTTTTTGACATTTCCCCCCACAACCTTCATTCCTCCATCATTGTCGTCAAAGTGGGTCAAATGTGCATAATAATTACCAACATTTACAGCTTTCAATTGCAATTTTACCTCTCTGAGTATCAAAAATAGATTTTTCCATATTTACATTTGGACAACATTGCGTTTGGCAGCCATTTCAAAAGGCAAATAATATGAACAAATGTTTATACGTTCCGTCGAATAATTCGCAACTGTTTGCGTTTGCTATTGATTTCAATGGCCCAGCTAGCAGAGTTTTAATTAATTGTAGCGCATTTAAATTCAATAGATTTTATTCGATCTTTTTCATAGCAATTTGCTCATTTGTGGTATTAATTAGGGGTTTTGTGATAAGCAATTTGCATTGATAGCGTAGCACGTGTAAATACGTTTGTGTGATTGATTAAGGTATTTATAATGGTGCCGTAATGGATTCTTGGGTAGGGAAAACCATGTCATCTTTTATCAGCGCTTTGAAGTACTCGGGCCTCATGTGCATTGGCCGGATTAGATAACAAAGATCCAGAGTGCTTGGTTCGCCCAGTATCCGGTTGGCTGTGAGCCATTGGCAAACATTTACTTAGCTCTTGCCCCCTGCTGAAATATGCAAAGCCAAACAGAGATAGCAAATTCAACAATGTTTATTTGCGACTCTTGTTGGCACAAATGTTGTCATTGATTATGCATGATCCACATACGCAACAGAATATTCGTAGACGGGTTTCGTCAAATTTTAACCCAATTTACAACCGCTTTATGGGCCCAGCGCACACATACATACATACATTTTTATAAGCAAATATTAGCCAATTGACAAAACAGCCACAAATATCTAGGCAAATGTGCTAAGTAAAGGTAAATTTATTTGCACTAAAATTAAGCAAATTTGTTGATAAATAATTTTTGGTGTGTGTTACAGTCAAGCACGAATTGGAGGAAGACAGCTTACTTAATATTGGCCTACAAAATTGCCATCACAAAATTAGAATATGGATTAGGATAATAGTTGTATATAATAAAAGTTTAAAATAAGTAGTAAAAGTAAACTTAGTTTATAATATAATTTACCTTTAAATCGTTGTCAGAAGCTTAAAGACTTATACAAAAACTGCCTTTCCAAAATTGATACATAAGTACTGACCAAATAAATGCATTTAATACACAAAGTTGCCTTTAAATAAAGGTTAAGTTTACTTTTTTAATTGCCAACTGTTTCATCGCTTTTTATTTCAAATTTACACAATTGTTAAATTTAACGTTATATTTTATGTGCATTTTATTCATCGACGATTTCTCGCCACAGCCACTGACAAACTTTGCAGTACTTTTTTGTTCTCGTTTTAAATCAATACTTAGTCGAGGTGTTTACATTTGCATGTGAGAGATGTGGAAACTAAAGGGTTTCTATTTTGCGTTTTGTATATATTTTTACAGTTTGGAATATTTTTCAAGTGTTTTTTATCCGACAACGACGTGCCAAAGCCCCGGCTGACACACAGAAAAGCCATGAACCCCAAAAATAGTATGTAGGGTTAACAAATTATTTTTTATTAGAGCCCCGGCACATGACCGGGCCTTAACGAGACTTTGGCCAATTATCAGGAGGTTGTTGATAAAACGGATTGTGTGAAAATTTGGCGTAAATAATGGGAGCTAAATCTGTTCAGTGTTTGTGTGTGTTTTATGTTAATAAGAGACGCAAATCAAAAACAAAATTCCCACTTCACTCACCTTGGCTAAATGTCTCTTCGGGGAATTCGTCTGCAAAGAGAACAAGGAAATTGTAAACTTGATTAATATGCAAATGCCAAGCGGGTTTTGATTAACTGCTTAACCCAATTTTGTTTGGTTTTCGTTTTGTTTGCGCCTACCAACCGTCACCAACTTCCGCCTACAATTGGGCGGTGGAGAAACCGAAAAACCAGTTTAATGCACTTGATGTGACAACGACTGACAGCCTGAGATTGAGTTTGAGTTTTTGAATGTGTTCATTTAGCATTCGGCAGATGTGTGCCAACCGGTTGGCATAGGGAATTGCACAACATTCAATACATTTAAAGTGCATACCTGGCTAATTAAGATAACATTAAATTCAACCAGTTGTGGGTCACCCTTTAAAGCGGCTTAAAGCGGACCCAAATGGGTGGAGGTTCTGAGGTTCTGGGGTTCTGAGAATATGGCAGACTGGGTCACTTGATGATGTTAAGCGGCTTAGACGTTAATTGAATTAGTTTACAAGTAGCGCCCAACATGGTGTTTGTGTTTGTATTTGCCAGCTCTGCTCGATTCATTGAGGCAGAAGCCCAACCCCGCCTCTTTTGCCCTCTTTTACCCCCTGCTGCCCGCTTAACCCACTTGTTCAATTGCACTTGCACTTGATATACAATTAGATTCTTTGTTGCCGCAAAAGGGAAAAACAACTGCAGCTGCTTATGCAGCTTTTCTCGGTTTTCCACAGCCATACAGCCCCACAATCCATCGCATCCCGCTGTAATGAAATTTTAATTGTTGGCATCTTGGCAAACTGCTTACATAATTGAACTATCGTGGTGCGTCTGGTTAATTGTTTAATTAAGCCATTAAAACGCCATAAAAATAATAAGACGGCCTAAGCGAAACTAGAGAGGCTGCTTTGAGCTGAATTACCTCAGTTGGCCAGCGAAGTTCAAGTGGCTTTTGACATGCGACACTTGCACCCAGAAGAGGGTCTTTTAACTAAAGCCACTTCGAGTGCGAGTCACTTGCATAACGCTAGTTGGTTAAATACAAATTGCTTAAGAAATATCCCGAGGCTCTGAATTTTAAAAAATTACAGGTTGGCATCAGTCAGTTTATTTTTCTCAATATTGAAGAGTTAATCTTAAAACCCAATAAATGCGACTTACTCTTTTGCTTTGCATTGAAAATGCTTAATTTAACATGATGACATTCATCAGAATAAAAATAGAATTAAAAGTTTATTAACAGAACACTATCAATAATAATGCTATTTATTTCGGTTACTTATTTCGGTTACTTATTTCGGTTGTGTGTTTTTGTTTTTATAAGTCCATTCTATTTAAATATGGGCTAAGTGAAAATAATAAAACAAAATTTAAATTTCTAATTCTAATTTATTTAAGATATTTTAGCGATAAATGATAACTTAAATTATCTCCGAAAATAATTATAAAATCAAAGCTTCTCCTAAAAACTTTTAAACCGATTTTATTGAAACTCAACTACGCTTTCATAACGCAATGCCTTACCTAAACCAAAAACCATTTCCATGATCCTTTAAATTTCGCCTAAAGGTCTCAATTAACCTTTGTCAACTTCGGCATCATTTCCTGCCCCTTTTTGCCATCACAAAACCATTAGCTCCCTGCTCGTAGGGTATTATTAACCCATATTCCAAGTGCTCTGACACATCTCCCATTCGCGTGACTTGTCAAATTTTTGACAGACAATGGCTGTGGCAAACAACTGGCATTGATGCGACAGGGCAACTGTAACCAACAATTAGATTGCCCGGAGAAAATGGTATCAGTAGTGACAGTGGCAGGGCTAGGGAAATGGCAACAATTGCTGTCACCATGACGATAAACGATAACAAATTCATTAATTAAAATTTAAGTGCACAACAACAAAGGAAAGATTGCCATGCAAATGGCTTTATCGCTCTTCTGCGTACACAGAATTGATTTGCAATGCCGCAAAAAGAATGCAAAAAACAAACAATAACGTGTCATGTAAATTGCTCACAACTGTACATCAATAAATTCAAAATGCTTATATATATATATATATGTGTGTTAAAAAAAAACTTATGTTAAGAGACGACTATGGCACTTACAAGTTATTCACCCATTATGGTAAATTTTAATCATTTTTCAATTTGTTTTACCGATAATTTTATTTTATTTAATTTTTTTCCTCTCACTTTATTTGTCAAGCAGTTTATCGTAATCACTTTGTTTTTACTTTAATTAAATATTATAAACATCAGCAATATATGACACTTTTTCTATATCAGCATGGTGACCACAAAAACAGCCAATCATAAACTGATTACAATCGAAAAATGATTAAGAAGGGGAAATACAAAAGCAGAAAAGCTGCTTTTTAAAAAAAAAAAATTTTGGTAAGCAGACTTACGTTAGCTAACATATTACGTAAAAGGGAGAAAATTTTTAATTGTTGTTAAGCTCTAAAATAAGTCTATGTAGGCTACCATCAAACAAGGAAAATAAAATAAATTCTAAAGTGAACAATAATTTTATGTCTTTAAAACGGCCAAAATTTTTAACTAGTAAAAGAATAGTTAAGAGAAGATTTTTTTTTTTTATAAATTGACTAAGTCTCTTTGTCCAGAAATGTTAAATAAGCCTGAATTCTCTCAGCCTTTTGGATCGAAATGCCTCTTGTTTATTCAACCGAAATGCCCTTTATTGCTTAACTAAACACATAACATGGCAATTACTGCATTTACCTGTGTAATGGCTCCATCTAACCTCTATTAAAAATTCATTTGCATATCACTCATACGCCCCGTGTGACAATTTCATACAACTTACAACCAGAACTGGCAAAATAAAAAATAAACACAAAAACTACCATTTGTACACCCAATCCCAAAGGGAGAAAATGAAATAAAAAATTGGAACAATAACAACGGATAAACCAATTTAAAAAAATACAATCTGCAAACCAAATCTGCACACACAGACGACATGACATTTTGGAGAGCGAGGCAGACAGACAAGAGATGGCTACATTTTAAATAACATTCATGCCATATAGTTTTTGCGAATTTTTTACTTGCCAGAGAAAATGCAATGCAAACAGGACTAGCCGCCCCTCTCCCCCAAACAATCCCAATTTAATTGTTTAAGTGTCAGCAAAGCCAAAATAAAAAATACAAAAAAATTGGGAAAACCAAAAAAAGATTAAATAAAAATCAAGTGGAAAGGGTGCAATGCTTTTAATGAATTCAATAAAAGTCAGATTGAATGTGCACCAGTTGGCGGATGCGGAGACACATCCTTTTTTTCTGGCATGCCGCAAGGCCAAATAAATGTTAATGAGGGACCCAAAAGAATCCGCTTATGTTCGATACTATTGGAAGCGGAAATGAGCGATAAAAAGCGTAGAAAACTCAGATGACCGGGGAGGACAAAAGCCCTTAAGTACGACCAGATATATTTACTGTTCCGCTTTGGCCTTTTTTTCTTTTTGCCACTTTCTTTGTTGTGTTGCCGAAAACTTTCGCTCTGTGCACACACTAATTGAACTTTCATTGAAACGCAAGTCATTAGAAAGCAAAAGCAGAACTGATTTTCCACAGCATCGATAAAAAGGAAATTGAAACAAACAGGCAGCCGACAAATGGCAGGCCAATTCAAAACTTGACAATACGCTGAATGAAATCTAATTAAATGCTATTATTTTATCGCCCTTTGTGCAGCTAAATGGGTTAAGTGCACTCTGCTATCGACATTAAACTTTCTGTGACTAATCAATCAGCAAAAATATCTACGCATAAATACACACGCTCACTGCAGTTGTGTAAATTTGCACATGTGCATACATATCTAAAGATATATTCACACATTGCACTGCAATTAAATTAGAGCAGGGCAAGCAGAGAGATAGCGAGCGATGGAAAGGGAGCCTGCAGAATGTCTAGAAATTGAAATCGACGCTCCAATTCAATTGACAACATGATGGCGGTTTTATTTTCGGCATAAGCTAAACAAAAATAGCAATGCCAAAGATCTTAACTAAGGGTTATTTAATGCCCTGCTTTTTGTGTGTAAAATACTTTAGAAATAACTTACATAAGCTGAAAAAAAATAAAAGATAATATTTTATTACAAATTTATTTACTCAGCATTCTTTATCCAGTACTTTTCTTGAGTGACTGCTATACATTTGTGTTATCATAAGTTTTATTTAACAGATTTTTTATTGAAGCAATTTTTTAAGAAATAAATATTTAAAATTTATTTAGTTGCATAGTTAATTAAAGCAAAATTGCATAAGCTTGTAAATTGTTTTCAAGGGCTTATATGGCCATTTGTTTCTTTTATTTATTGATTTTTATATGATGAAATCAATATTCAAATTCAAAAATGAATATTGCAAATAACTTTCACTGGGGCCCACTGTACCCATGCCCTAGTCCAATCGACCAAAAGCCCCCTATTAATAGCTGCTGAAATAAAAAAAAAGAGCAGAAAGTGTGTGGTGGCAGAGAAACCCCGAAAAATGTCACCTTGCATAGCGCAAATATTTGTGTGTATTTCTTCCTATCGCTCGCACTGCTGTACTATCCAACTCCCCGCCCTAGTTGCCCGAATCCCCGCCAGGTGGCTCCCCGCAGAGTCCGAAAAGGTGTGAAGAGCGGAAAAGAGCGGCCACAAGGCAAACACAACGCAATCGCTTGCACGGCGTGGTGTTGTGTGTATATTTAATGTAGCTTAGCTAAGCCCAAAACGAAAAGAGCAGAGTAACAGTAACAGTAACAGTAACAGCAAAAACAAAGACAAAACAGCAAAGGTCAATATTGAAAATTGATAAACAGCAGAAGCGCCAGCAAAATCACCAGTAGCTGTGGCCGCGGCAGTGGCAACGGCAAACAAAACTAAAATAAGAAACCTGAGCTCTATCAGCTTCGCTCAGTCCTTGGTGGTGGTTTCATAATTAAAAGTAAACAATTGCGTTTTTTATTCTTGTCTATCTCTCGCTGTCTCGCTTCCTCCATTCCATTGACCACAAAA